GGCCCGGAAGCATGGCGGGTGTGCGAATGCGTGCTCAGTGTGCTGGGCTCCTATGGGCCTCACCGGAGCCGATATAGCAACTCTTTACCGGCCCTCCCCTGCCGTCATTATATGAAAGCGGTGCTGTATGAGCCCAATCTGCCTTTCCCTCCCCTTCCACCGAGCCATTCATCGATCAGGGTGTCACATTGGGCTCTGCCATTGTTCTGCATTGTGCTGGAGTGGAGGCGATCGGGTGCTGGTGTGCTCAGTGCTGGCATTGTGCGCCTGCTAGGAGGTACAGAGCACGTGTTTGCTGCGGGCTCCGGCCTAGGATCGTCCTGTGGGTGGAGAGAAGGAAGAGGCGCTTTGTTCCCTGGCTCATCACTCCAGCCATGCAGGCGGGAAGGAGCACGTTTATAGGGCGCTGGGCCTAAGCAGCATTATCACGAGCTTCTCTGTGTGCCGGCCTGGGCTTCCATGGTGCATGGCTTTCCTGGGTGATGGGAGTAGTAGTATGAACCAAAAGACTTCCATAGGCATTCACTCACCGATCTAAGTGCTGGGAGAACACCCTGCTCCTGTCATCACAAGTACATATAGTCTGTCATTGTATTATAGCAGGGGAGACTAAATGAGGGCTCACTAGACACCGAGAGCTAATTAATTAAATCCACAGATATAGCATGTAGAAAAATGGAAGGAGAGATCTAAAAATTGACATGAGTATTGATTAGATTGCCCGCAGCAAAAAGCTTATGCAGCAATGGGGTAGATTAGACAAATATTGTTAAAACTTTGTTTTCTGGAATCTGTTTCCTATTTTTAATATAGTAGCAGACATCGCATGAGGATACAAGGTCTGCTTAGTCCTCGTGCACATGGGAATTGAAATACATGTGTACTGATGTATTTGGAGCTCATTTCTGAATGCCTCTGGAAGCACGTGATGCTTTTCTATGGCAGAATGCACATCTAGATGTTCAGTGTAGTCTGGGTGCATCCTGCCTAGCTACACAAACCAGGAAAGATTAGTCTGATTTTTTTGCAGGAAAAAGTTATCTGGGAGGCATCGACATTTTGTAAAGTGCTGCACCAACTGTTAGCACTGTATAGATCCTGAAGAATAATAATAGTTTATGCTTCCCAGATAACTGCTGATGTGTTTAATGCAGGGGCTCTTATCATGCGGCCCCCTGAAAAAGAAAGCTATGACACAGTTGAAGAATTGTCAAAAGAACACATGACTTGCATCCCAGCTTCTGTCCGCTTCCTGTTTGCACCTGTGGCCTCGCCGCATGGTCCTGGAAAAGTGAACACTCCCACCTTTTATGCAGGAGTGCTTTCTAGCAGGCTCTGGGGTCCTCTGCTTTCCCATGAGTATGCAAGAAGGCCTAGTGAGTGACATTACCTTTTGGCAAGTGCACAGATAGCTGATGTGTAAGATACACGTGCTCTACATGTTAGTT